GCAATTTTGGTACATTAACTTTCATTATTTTTCATTTTTATTTGGTACAATAATTTTTAATTTTGGGTTAATCTTGTCCAATATTCACTATTGGTATACAATAATTTGGTTCTCGACTCCATCTATCCAAAGATCTCTTTGGTGTTATCTAATTATTCTCCGATTGACAACAATGAGTTGTCAAAGTCCCTAAAAATTTCAAGTTGTTACAAAATACGCTCTCCTATTTTTTTTTAAATGTCATTCTAGCTTTATCAACTATTTGCTAAATAAATGTCATTTTGGATCTTTTATACATATTTTTCTTTTCATATTCACTCTTCACTTTTTCTCAAAACATTGATCTCTATCTTCATTAAATAAGGTTATTATTGACAAAAAAAATATTCTTAATTAGTGTGCAACTTCTCAAAACGACATATATTAAAAATAGGAGGTAGTAAAAGCTACTGTTCCACATTGAAAAATCAAGTAATTAGTTGACAAAATTAAGAAACAAAAATTGGTGACTAAATTAATTGCATTGTTTTTTTTTCCTTGTTTCTTTACATGCAATATGAGGAATTCAAATTTTTTGCTGAATAAATTGTATGATTGTTGTGTTCAAATACTAAAATAAAAGGATAAAATAAAATAAAATAAAATAAAATAAAATAAAAAAGGTGGTGGGGCAAAATGATGTTTTTAGAAAAAAATAAAAAAAATAAAAAAAAATAGTAATAATAATAATAATAATAATTGATTGTGGGAGGGGACCCATAGCCAAGGGAACACAAGCATGCATCAAAGCAAAGTGGAGGCAGCAGGCCATGTTTTTGCTGCTGGCTGCCTTTTTCTAACTGTAACAACACAATGCAAATTAATGCATTTTGTTCCACCTTTTTTATTCCACCTTTTAACATATTACTAACAATTTAAGTTTAATTTTTAAAATTAGAGTACATGACTGTAAAAAAAAATAAAAAAAAATTAACAAAATGAAAGTTAAATCAAAGTATAAATATGTTTATGTAAAAGTAAAAAACATTATTTCTTAATAAAATTAACATCACGGTTTTTGTGCAACGGTCCACAAGAAACACCGTGTTTACTTTTGGATAGGCGTGGATTTTTCTAATTTGTCCAATGAATGGCATTTTTGTATTCAAAGTCCACAAGGAGGAGTAGATATGTGTACATCCACCCTATATATCATTTCCGAATGTACTGAGTTTACGTGACTGCTTTTGGTGTTTCGGAATCCTACTTGGCGAAGAAACATGCTTCGTCAGGGGCGAATTTAGATGTATGAGTAGGGGGGCAATTGCCCCCCCTCAAATTTTATTTTTTTTTACTATTAATATTATAAAATTAATTTGTCTCCCCCTTTAAATTTAATTTTGCACCCCAAATTTTTTGTTCTTAAACTTTACTCACAAGAACAAGTAAAATTTATTTTTGCACCCCCAAGTTTTTTATTTTTAAACGTCACTCACAAGGACAACTTGTCCACAATTATTATCAATTAACAATTCAACACTTTTTTATTCTACTATTAATTTTGTATATCAATTATTATCATTCTACAATTTTAATTGGCTCATATAAAAGACTTCAACTCTCTTTTATCGTTAGGGCTGGTATTTTTATTCTGAAAACTGACCGAACCGATAGGAAAATAAACCGAACCGACTTATTTGTAATACGGTAACCGAAAACAGGTTACCGAAATGTTATCAGTTCGGTATCGGTTCTAAACCCATTAGGGTTCGATTTTGAACCTATTATGTTATGTCTTTTGCCCCCTCTCAACGAATTTTCTGGCTTCGCCCCTGTGCTTCGTAATAGGTTTGGACAAATAATATTGACATATTAATAATTAATTACCTAGGTTCGGACATTTCACAAATATTATTTGTCTAACTTAGAAATTTTAATATCACTTGTACTAATATAACCCTTTAATTATTTTCAATTTTACATAGTGAGACACTAAGTGACTAATATATCCTTAATTTTGATTTGTTTTCTTCAATTAGCTATTGAATTGTAAATGTATTTTAAAAGTTGATAACTTTTGTATTTCTCATCGGTTTTACGTATATTATATATCAAATTAATCATCTTTTGATGATCTTCGATTTGACATCCATATTGTATATATGAAATAAATAAATTATATTTATCTTTATAAAATAAAAAATAATAATATTTATTAAAATTCATTAGAAAAATAAAATTATTTATCAATTTATATATTAATTTTTAATGTAGTTATATGTTGTAAGTTAAAAATTATTATAAAATATAACACATGTAAGTCGCACAAATAAAAAGTGTTATACTAAATATAATATATATATATATATATATATATATTTGTAAAATGTATTTAAATTTTCAACTACTTTTTCTCATTAATTTAGATTTTAAGAAAAAATTAGCAAACACCCGTATAATACACGGGTGTTTGTAATACACGGGTGTTATACTAGTACATATTAGTTATTTAATTTTGGTCCATTGTCAATGTCAATTGAGTATAAATTTGAAAAAAAAAAGGAGTGAAAAATTATATGTATTATTGATCGTCATCATCAGAACATTGGTAATCAAAATATAGCGAGAATTTGGGGTTTAGTTACTGAGAAGTTATTTCATAAAAACATAAATTCTTGTTAGGTGGTGAAATGATTGGTTAGATTCTAAGGTCCCGTTACATAACTATTTTGTTAGGGATTGTAACCGTTAGATCATAATGTAACCGTAAAGGATAGTTGATCTAACGTTTACAAATCCCGACGGAATGGTTCTGTAATGAAACTGTAGCATTTCCCAAATCCATCATATGATTTACATAAAAATAAGTATTTATATCGTAAAATATCAAAATCTTTGTGTTAAAAAAAAAAAATGTTGGTTGTTAAGACACTTTCTTTGCATCATTGTCTCTCATTTTGAAGTTAAAAAGGATCTATCTCACCCAAGAGCGCTTGGATGAGATGGCTTGGGTCTCTTCCAGCTTAACCAGTGGTCT